AGTTTTGTCCAATGAATATAAATTATGACATTGCATATGTTATTGTCAGATTTGATGTATTTATAACGTCTTTAAACTGTTAAGACATTAAAAGAGTTTCGGGATACTGTTACATTGTATTCGACCTATTCAAATTATTAAAAGAAAATATACATTTTTATCTTATTTCTGTTTTTGAAAAGTGACGTAGGAAAGTCTTTCTTGCATAAAGATCCTCAACCTAATCCGCAATATTATCTTATTGCTTACATAAAATATGAAAATATTGCATCAAACCGAAAAGTAAATTTTGATATCGATAATTTTGTGAATAAAGTTCGGTTATCAAATAAGATTGATGGAAAATATAATAAACTTATTCGAAATTGTATTTACAACTTCAGTTACGATTTCAAATCGATTTTTATTATATAATGTTAATACACATTAGTGTATTCACTAATTCCTTGTACGTCAAGTGAAAATGTATTATATGTCAGTACATTTTCTTGCATTGTACTTTACGAAATTGTGATGTCTATACATATATATTAAGCCGTTTACTGCAGTTCTTTCTTTTAAATGTTTTTAAGGATGCGGATGCACATTGTCTTTCACATAAATCCACGAGGACAATACGAATGGACTGAGAACAGACTGGTGATAACACGCAGTTTCTTCTACTGAATAGAGTTTTCAGGTCTGTTTCGAATAATGGTGTCTTAAAAAAATATGTAACGAGCACAAAGATTAAACGTCATTAATTAAAATGTTCAGTCAAACACGTCAATATTTGAAAAAAAAATAAATTTTACAGTTTGACAAATAATAATTGGTAATTATTCAGTTTAATTACTCAATTTAAATAAAAGATTAAATACAAGCAACCGTGAAAACAGATTTACTAAAATTTTAATTAAACGAGTTTTAGTACCAAAAATGTAAGATATTTGTTAGAAAAATTAGTAAAATATATCTTTGATTCGTATTATTCTCAATGTAGTGGCAGAATAATATCAAATATAATATTTAACATAATTTCAAGTTTTCTACTTTGATCTAAAACAATTTCAATTATTTTAAATATTGATATACTTTTCATCATTATGCCTACTATCTCATTTCCATTGTTTCCACTATTTTCACTTTTTATCACTTTGTATCAAATTATTACGAAAAGCAAACAACTCAATGTCTCAGCTATAAATATTAATATGATTAACAATGGTCGAAGAACAGGTATGCACATACGTGATCATATTTATTTATAAAACTCAAAATACAATAGGTCCTTCGTGTTGGATGGAACTTAATTAAACAATACGTACCCTGGAAGTACGATATAAGTTTGCATAGCGTAATCCCAAAGACGAAATTCTTCAGAATCTGGCCAAGTAGAGTGAAGGGCATACAGAAGACACCGAGCAGCAAATCCGAAACTGCCTGGAAATTCAGAAAACGAATTTCAAACTCCTAATTAATTTATGGGAGAAAGTTCGAGCCAGTTAACAGCGTGATCAAATTAATAAGGATCGTTGTTCTTAATTAAGTGGAATCTATCTTATAGTAGTTTTCATTACATGGAAACTTAAAATAATTTCTGTTCACACCATGATACCATGTTTATTATTTTAGCGAACAACGTAGAGAAGAACTACCATGAATGGAACACTTTTGTTTAGGACAAGATTAATAAAAAAATTAATTCTAATTCTAGTTTAAAATACACGAAAAATTAGTTCTTTTACTATGTACAATGATCTTAAATTACATAAATCTTTTTTCGCATCTTCGGTTAATATCACAAGAAATAATCCTTTCAATAAGAAGAAACTAAAAAAGATTTACAAAAATTTACCCATTTACTAGAGATCTTGTATCGATACGTCAATCATATCATCTTTTGCTCCCCTTCGAGAATGATACTTTCTTCGTGATCTCCTTTTTTTTATCTTTTTTGTGGATTTTTCAACCAAGTTTGTTTTTTATTTTCCTGTGTCTTAACTAAATTATCTTCAAAAAAATTTCTAATATGTTTTAAATTTTTCCATTCATGGTAGTTCTCCCTTATGATTTTCATCAGTGGATCGTGAAATTAATTTATTGAATGTATTCGATGAGATGGTACGTGCTAGGTTCGGTGTAATAAACTTTAATATATTGTTCGAAGTAATATTGCTCTTCTCTGTGATAATTTGACTCTCATAAATATAAATGGCTGATATTAGCAGGAAAGTTACATCTAATAAAGATCAGAAAGTAGACAGTCATTTCAAATAATTTTAATCAGAAATTATTAATTGAAGTTATTACATCGTAGAAGTCATGCATGTACACGTACAGTGTTCATCCCAAATTTTTCGAACTTAATAAACTCCCTTTTTGTAGTCCAGTTATGGACAGATTTTTTATTAAATATAGAATGCAAATTTTATCAGCATTTTTTCAACCATTATCTTTCGTATTTTGTGTTTTAATTAAACT